GTTACATTGCCCTTGATCCAGCCCTGCAAGGCCTCCCGCACCCTCCTTGACATTGATTTTGGATCACTTGTTGTTCCCTTGTCCCTGTGCTTGTTAACACCCTCTTCCTTTCCCCCACCTCCCCTACCCCCATATTCCCCGATCTGTCATCCCGATCTTTTATCCCGTTGTTCTCTCTTCTGGCTTGTTTATTCCGCCTATCCCTTCCAGGTAGACATGCTATGTACCATCACCAGACTGAGTGCAATGAAGCGACAACAGAAAGTAAAACAATGTCTACAACAACAACAATACACACATGCATACATATATAACCGTATGAATAGTTCAGGGTCTGTTTTCCTTCACGTGTGCTTTCCAGTCAAGTCTGATGGGGTGTAATGCCCCGGCATCACCTCTATCCCTGAGGACCTCACTGCTCTGCTCCCCCCACCTCCCCCGCTGCTCTGATGCATGCCCCCCCTCCCCCAGGCTGGCGTTCAGCGTGGTGAGCTCATGGTGGGTACAATTCCCGCCGTTTGTCTCCAGTGCTGTCTCCAGTGGTGCGATGGGTCAATGAGGAACACTGTGTCCCGTGGTGGGGCCGGACCTGTGGTCATCTCCGTGCATCGCTGTTCCGAACAGGCACATTGTCCCCAGGGCTCAGGGAGCCAGGATGTGCTCCACTCTTTCCTTTTCTTCCCCTTCCCCCCTCATTGGCTCACATGCGCTCCGACCAGACCAGTCTCCCTTCCCCTCTTCCCGAGCTGCAGCTTCAGTGCTGTCCTCTGAAGTGAGTTCTCCCTGGGGGAGGGTGGTGCCGTGCACCCAGTTGGTAATGGGGCCGGCCCCTCAGGCCTCTCCATGGGCTCCCTACTTCATGTCAGCATGTTGCATTCCTGTCTTCGAGCTCCGGGTTGAAGTCTGGCCCCTCTTTCCCTGTGGAGACACAATCGACACCCTCCCCCTGCAGACCCTTGCTCTTTCATTCCTCTGTGGACCAAACGTAAATACTACCATTCTGCTGGGACTATTTCATCTTGCCTCCACTCTGCTTCATGTTTTGTTGAATTTTCTGGTGCATATTATGTAAAGGGGTGTAATTTTTCATTCACAAGAAAATGATTTTCTGCATGAGAGTATATCTCTTAATTTTTTGCTATCTTTTCTGAATATTCTTAGAAGCTCTGGTGGGGTCGGGGTTACAAGTTGGGCTGTGCTCTGCATGGTCAGCAGTTCAAAACCACCAGCAACTCTGCAGGAGATAGACAGGACTTTCTCCTTCCAGAAACCTTTAACAGTCATGGAAACCCAAGGGCGTTGCTCTGAGTCAGCACTGACTTGCTGGCAGTGAATTTGTTTTTTTTTGTTTCAGAAATATTCTAGACCATGATGAGAGCAGTTTCAGACGACATTTGGTTGCATTCGAACGATATAGGTATTATCCCATTTGTGTTGTCAGTCTGGGACTCAGTGAGGAAGTGGACGCGGTTAACTTCACAACTACTGTTCCTTGCTTTTTCTTCCCAACATTTGCATGCCAGTTGCCAATCATTGTCGATGCACCTAGCTTGCATGTGTGAGCAATTTCAGATACTGAAAACCAGATACTGAAGATGCTGGTAGAACTCTTTATCACTAGCTTTTGAGATTGGTGCATACGTTTGAATAACAATCACCTCTGTTGGATTTCTTTCAAGGCCTACAGATAGATTCCTGTCACAAACAGCACTGTACTTTTTT